AAGAGGCAGGTAAGGATCAGGCCCCCACCCTTGTGTACATGCCACAGGAGTTTAGTTCAGTTTAATTTGCCCTAAATTGAAGCAGTGTTTTTAAAAAACCACCAGTTCAATTTAGGGAGAACTAAACTGAATTAAAACCCCATGGTGTGTACAAGCAGCCTCTGCTTTTGTTATATTTGCTAACAATCTGGATGAACTGTCTAAAGTTCTGTCTCCCCCTTCCCCTGTTCTGTCACCTGCTTCTATTTATGCAATTGAAGTTCCCCACGATTATCCTCAGTCTCCCTTCTACCACATAAACTGCTAGCTCTTTAAACACACCCTTCCTCCTCCCCGCCCCACTCCAAACTCTGGTGTTGCATATATGCTGAAAACTTCTAATTCTGCTCCTCTGACTAATAGTATCATTTGCTGCAGTCTGCCACTGATGATGTCTTCCATCTGCTTTGCTTTCACCTCTGGATTCTTGACTCGTATTGCCACTCCAGCCACTTTATTTTCATTTGTCTCACACCACCAGGATGGTCCCAATCTCCACCTTTTCTCAAAGCACTTATAATCCCTTTCTCTTAGTATCCCACATTCTTGCAGACATATTATATATTTCCTTACTTTTTTAACATTGGTTCAATTTGTTGCCATCTCTTCCTTGTTAGCATGCTCCAGACCTTAATAGATTCTATAATCAGTGCTGTTGTGCTTGTTTTAAAAAGAGTGTGCCTGTCCCTTTTAAGGTTTCCCAGAACTGCTGCTCATCATGATTTACTCCCCCTGCTCTTCCCCACTTTCATGCCTGTCACTTTTGCAGGCTCCTTGCCTGCCTTTGCTTTCAGGAAAGCTTCCATTTCCCCACCTCCTTGCCGCTTCCTGCCTCCAGCTCCCCCATCTAGGCTGGAGCCCGGAGGAATTAATGGTGGGAACTGGCTCTCTGGCTCTGACTGTCTCATTCCCCATGTTTTCAGGTTTCTTTTTCCTGATTTTCTTCCCTTGTGTTTTCTTCTTTTTCCCTCCCTGACTCCTGGGCGCTTTTATTTGTTCTACCTCCATTTCTTCTGCTTGTTTGATTTCTTTCTCCACACACCCCCCACCTCTCTCTCTTTCTGGGCTCTTTCCCATGCCCCTTCTTTTTTTTCTGTTTTTTCTTGAGTTGCCTCAGTTACAGGTATCACACACTCCTCTTTCTCCTCTCCTCCCTCCTGTGGGATCTTCTCCACCATTTCTACTTCACTCTCACCCTTCTCTTCTCCCCCACTGTCCCTTTCCGATTCATGCTGTTCCTCAGAGGGTCTGACCTTGCTTGTATAGAGTCTTGAGACACCTGTGGAATAGGTGTCCCTCCCCCACCACAGCTCATGCATTTTAGGGACTCTGCAGCTCTGTGCCCCTTACCTTCACATCTGTAGCACACCATGGGGGAGCAGTGTGCAGGTGCCCTTCAGGTGCCCATCCTTGCTGCATTCCTTTGGTTGCCCATGGTATATTAGAAAACCCCAGTGGGGCTGCAGCTGGAATGCAGACAGGAGGTGCTGCACCCCACCTGGGCTCCACTCATTTGCTCTCTACGCAACTTGTGCCCTCCATGACCCCATCCAAATACCATATTTGTCCCATGTCTTCTCTACACACATTACTCTTTGCACATACAATTCCATCCATCTTTCTGTCTTCTGCCTCTAATAAATCCATTTACATTCTTACTGTAATCACTCATTCCCTTGACTTTTCCCCTGCTATAAACTTTATCCTTCTTAATTCTTCCCTCCCACATTCCTCTGCATGTTTCTTCCAAAAATGTTCATACTCTTCATTGTTCCAGTAAATTAACTCCCAAGTCTATCTGTTTTGGAAAGCAGTCAGGCTGGTGAGATGTTCCACCTGCACTTCCAGTATCTCAAACAGTACCATTTCTGTGAACTCATATCTGTCCATCATTGATCCTGTCTACATCCCATCACGGGCTGATATTGCTTTTATCCACAGTTTCCAATCCTTCCTGACATCTCTTGGTGCATCTTCTGTGTCTTCCTGCTGTGCCACTCCCAGTGGGCTGGTATTTTGTCATGTTCCTGTTGTTTTCTGCCTCTCGTCTGACTTACCTTTTCCTGCTGTTCCCACTCTGTCACATTCTTCTCTGCTCCTGTCTTCCATCTGGCCTTGTTCATCTCCCCATCACTTTCTTTGCCACTGCCTCTGTTGTTGCTGCTACTTCTGCTGTTGCTCCTATTATCTTCATCTTTTTTCTCTGCTTCTCCACCTTTGTCCACCCTCCATATGTCTCTAGCCTTTCTTTTCTGCTCTTCATTCTACTTTCCACCTCCTGGTTACTTGCCACTACTGCCATTGTTTTGAGCTTTGGATTTCCCTCCTCCACTCCTTATACCCTGACACACTCCTCTGCCCTTAAGGCATTGATCAGGCTTTCAGCTGATCACTTGATTTTAGCCCAAGAGGTCAAGAAAATGCTGATATAAAATATATAAAGGCTGGTGTGTGTGTGTGTATGTATGTATGTATATGTGTGTGTGTGTGTGTATGTAAGTATATAAATAAAACAAATCCCCCCTCCTCAGGTGTGTATATATACATATATCGTATATAAAGGGGTGTACGTATAGGTGTATGTGTATGCACATATACCGCCCCCCATGAATCTGTCTCAAAACCAATATGGTTCATTCAGTAGCCCCAACCACATGTTTACAGTTGCAGCATTATCATTCTCTTTACAATAACTGTACCACGTACTTGTCCTCCCATGCACACATGCAGTGGGGGCACGGTGCGTATGCTTTCCCTCTGGTTTGCTGCTCAGCCTTTTGGCTAGGAGCAAATGAGGCTGGGAGCATCTGAACCCCACAGCTTCTGGGCCTGGGGCCTGCCTGTAGGATACCTGCTGTAGATTTGGGGAATATCTGGAGCCCTAAACTGATGGGTCGGGGGGAGGGGAGAATGCTTGCCCAGTGATAGAGCCACCCAGACTTGATGACTGAGCTCTGCTCAGTCAATAGCTTGGAACTTGACTATTGGGTTTTGCCTAATTGGTTCTGGAACTGATTTGGCCCTTGAAACAAAACGTGTGTGTGTGTGTGTGTGTGTGTGTGTGTGTGTGTGTGTGTGTGCGCGCACTCACGCGCGTGTGTGTGCGCACATGTGCGCACACACTCAAAAGTGTGTTTACAAAACAACCGTGCTAAAACCTGCAGCTATTTTAAAAAAAAAAAAAAGGTAACATGCATCATCCTGGATGAACTAAGTCTGTGGGTACTGTATGCAAATTGCTACAGTCATGTTTAATTTCAGAGTTATTGTTTTCAAATGTTCTTGTCTCTTCCATGTGCTTAGGGAAAGCAGGGTCTGGGGGAGGGGGAAGGGGCTGTCAGGGGAAAAAAATAGTGGGGGGCAAAAAGCAAAGAGCTATCTGATTCCCTAGATTTTTTTTCCCTGCTATAGCAGTTGGAAGGGGACAAATTCAAAGCAGACATCCAGTAATTAGATTCTATACCTGGAAAAATTATAACAAATTTATAAATTTTCCATATATAGAATCTAATAATTGGGGGTCATCTTATAATCAGGAAATACTATACTTGAATCCTATCTGTTCTCTTTCATTTTTTAGCTGACTTTGGAGACTATGATCAATATGAATCTCAGGAGTTTCTACAAAGATTCGCCTTGTTTCCTGTGGTAAGTACTTCTTTTCAGAATCCGTTGAAAGAAAGGAAATGATTTGGAGAGCCCCTTCATTAGGCACAAAAATGTGCAAACACTATACCAACAAATATCAGTGCTTGATCTGAGAGTCATTTTAATGCACCCTTTTGTTCTCTCTGTAGTTTAGTGCTCCCAAATTAATCAAAGCACAAATCACAGATTCTCTGCACTTGCAGATGTAATTAAAGTGTTTATCAGAGACTTGATTTGGACATACTGCTTTGATGTGCACAATAAACACTAGGGATTGCAAAACATATATTTATCTATGGTAAACATTAGATGGAGGGAAAAACTCAGAAAAGGGAGCTACTTTTGGTATATTTTTTCATAGTAGTTGATTGATAATAAGCTAATTGCAGGCTCTAATGGAAGTCATGATCCTATTTAGGGAATAAACCAATTATTTTATCCTTTAAAAATCCACTAATACTGCGTTAAACAAAATGTATTTATGTTAAGGGTTGGCTACAAGAGGAAAACATACTGGAAGAAGCAACACAGAAAGTGGCCTTGTTGCATCAAAAGTACAGGTAAGAGTACTAAAATATTGAGATTTTGAAGCACTTCAGATATGTGACATTAAGAAAACTCAAAAACCTCAAGACAGTAAAAAATGGAGTGAAAAAGGCATAAAGAAAAGGAACACCAAGATCAGCGTGCTCATAAAGAAAGGGAAGGGCATACACAGGAGATTGATTTGAAGCATAAGGATGTAGATAATACTGAATTAGGTTAGCTATATAGGTAATGAGTACAGTGTATATGTTACACTGTGACTATGGTTGAAGGCCATTCTGGCTCACTGGGACTGAAATTACTACCTTTTGTGTCATCTCAGCCGAGCATCCAGACTACAGGTCTCCAGGTCACTAGCATCTAGGTATGATTAACTGGGAATATGTAAATAGGAAAGGATAGTGTGCTGTCTCACAGAGAGGTCGTTCGTCCATGTCACAGGTGAGTCAGAGTTAGACAGCATGAGAGTGCTTATATTTCTATTCTATGCTGTGAGCTTCCATAAGATTCCAGACCTGCCACAAGCACAGACTTACCAAAAAACAAAGAATGCCAGCACATCTCTAGGAGTCTACCTTGATTGCAAACCTTTTGAAACCACTGTACTTCATGCTGCTTATGGGGGACAAAAATAAAATGGTGTCTCCATTTGTATAATGCTTATTAAACCATTCATTTAACTTAATATCTCAGGTTGTGGTAGGGAAGTAGTGACCACAGTTAGAGCAGTAGTATTTGATGGATGCTTCTACACAGTAAGGTAACTGTGTAGAACTGCTATTAACACACAGTAAGGTAACTGTGCAATAAAATAAGGCACAGTAAACTGCACCTGGGAAGGGGTCTACAAATGCCTCCACTTAGGAGCAAATTTGCTCTCAGTGGGAGCAGTTGAGACCAAAGATGCTCTAGCCTCCATGCCTTGCTCTGCCCTGCTGCAGCATCCAGGGGGAGCTCCAATTAACAATTAGCCTAATTAACAGTGCAGTAGCTGCTGCAGTTACATGATGATGTAACTGCAGCAATTGTTGCATACAGCTGCTCACAGTTACATGGTGATGACTTACTGCACAATAGATTAGTTCACTGCAATTAGTTCACATAGATTAGTTTGCATAAATTAGTTCACTGCGCAGGTGTAGGTGTAGGTTTACCTGTTATGTACGAAATATGCTCAGGACTGAACAAATTAGTGACAAATTCAGGTAAAACATAATGCACTGGAAACTTCAGAGGAAAGGTTTAGATGCATTTTCTTTATTGGGTTTATTTTAATTTTTTGATCTTGCTCATTTCTCCTCTAATGCCACGGTCAAGAAAAAGTGTGATATGGTTTTGTGGGTGTTCTGAGGCAGCACAAACAGTAACTTTTTAGGAGGGTTTAATGAGAGGATTTTGAAGTGACATAGCTGGACTGAGAGATTGTTCTGTGCATAAAGTTTAGTAGAGGAAGAGGAGTAAAGATGGGAGTGGGGAAAGAAGTGGAGGAGATTGATATTATTGGAGAAAAAGGAAAAAGAGGAAGAACATTATAAAAACTAAGTGGGTGTTATTTTTCAAATTGTGCAAGCCCTAGCACAGTGTTGGTGCTAGAGGTATTTGAAATGCTGGATGACAAAATTATGAAGCTCCTTGAATGGAAGTACTCACATCTTTAATTTTGAGAAGGTGAGCAATGGGGAAACAAGATGGATTTCAAGAAGGATGTGACAATGGTTTGAATCAGGGTAGAAGGTAAATTTCAGTGGTGCATATGAATGGAGTGGAGAGAAATGAGAGAGAATTCTGGGAAGCTTGAGAGGAGCATGTTAAATGAGTCAAGAGTGTTATTCATTGGTGGGTTTGGGATCACCAGGAACTACAGCCCTCCCTCAGTGACTGGAAGGAGGCCACTAAATGTACAACAACTAATTCTTTGGGACCAATTGAGAAAACAGGATCAGCAGTACAGGTGATAGGCTAATAAGTAGGGTGCCAAGGAGTGTCACTGAGAAGAGAACTCCAAATAGCATCCTCTACCCCCTGAACATATCTAAGGAGCTTGTGGGTCTAACTCCGCTCAGAGATGTGTACAGACAAGGGAATGCCAGAGACCCCCCAGTCACCTGGTCTCCTTCTAGTCAGAACCTCCTTCTTGGAAGGGTGGAGAGATAGTCAAGTTGGCTAAGCCCAGAAGGAGGTTGACCAGAAGGTCATGGGATTTTTTGGGGCTACTCATGGGGTACATATAAAGCAGCAAGACTTCACAATTATTGGATGCTTTTCTTCAGGATTTTTCAGCTTTGAGAGTGTAGTTCAGAGGAATACATACAGGGTCATTAAATTTAAATTAAATCATTGCATTAAAATGAACCATTGTGTTTATTTGTAGAGGCCTTACACCTCCTGATGCAGAAATGTTGTATATGCAAGAGGTGGAGAGAATGGAGGGCTATGGTGAAGAGAGCTACCCTGCAAAGGTAAGGGTGGCTTTGATACTCTGCCTTAACTTAAGGGTAAGCATTGTAATGTTTTTTGTTTCCTAATGTTTGGGGGTTTTTTGCATTGAAAAAGGTAACTGCAATATAAAATAAACTTTTGGGCCTAGTACTCTGTAGTCATTTGTACCATCCCATTGACTTCACTGAGAATATTCAGGTGTAGAATGGCTCTATCATGGGGTCCAGTATGTGTGCATTATGTTGAGGAAAGATTGTTATATATTAAACTAAAGATTTAAATCTAGATACCTCCTTGCATTGCCTTTGTAAGAATATTTTAGTGAACTCGCACAAGTTGATAATTAATGCTTCTGTAACTTTTGTTCACAAAGGGCGTCCTTACACATGCTCTGTGGGTGGGGGTGCAGACAAGATTCATAGTTTCTAGGGTCGGGAGGGACCTGAGCAGATCATCGAGTCCAACCCCCTGCCATGGCAGGAAAGAGTACTGGGGTCAAACGACCCCAGCAAGGTGTACATCTAGCCTCCTCTTAAAGACCCCCAGGGTAGGAGCCAGCACCACTTTGCTTGGAAGTTGGTTCCAGATCCTAGCCGCCCTGACCGTGAAGTAGCACCTCCTGATATCTAGCCTAAGTCTACCCTCTGCCAGCTTGTGACCGTTATTCCTGGTCACTCCTGGTAGCGCTCGGGGGAACTGGGACTTCCCCAGTGCCTGCTGTTCCCCCCTGACTAGTTTATAACAGGCCACTAGATCCCCCCTCAGCCTTCTCTTGTGGAGGCTGAACAGGTTCAGGTCCC